ATTGAGAATATGGCAGGATGAAAGCAGGGTGTGATCCTGTTGATAGGGGGTTATGGATGAAAGTCAGGGCATTAGAGGTTCAGCCCAAACTCTGACTTTTTATCTTGTAGTTATTACAATTGACTCTCCTGTCATTCCAGTGGTGCAGGTTAGGGAGCCAAATTTGTTGTCGGGGAGGATAGTATGCTCGTTCGATGGGACTGTTGCTCATGAGTCTCACGGATCGGTGGGTATTGTTCTTCATGATGAGGCCGAGGGATTGTAATGGCAAAGGGCTCCAACTACAATGGTATGGTGGATCCAATGCTTGTGGAGTTGATGGCTCTTCACGATACGATTCGATGGTGTGCGGGGGCATGGCTTCAAGATGTCTACTTCTTTGGTGATGCCAAGGTGGTGATTCACAAAGTAAATCTTGGTATCAGTAGGCATGGCCGGAGCAATTATTTAGGAAGTTCGTCAACTTTTGGAAGATCATTCTGGGTTTAGTTTGTAGGTAGATAGAACAATAGGGTGACCCATTTGGTGGCCAAGAAGGCCCTTGATTTGTTTCCTACTGGGGGTGATGGTTTTGAATTCCGAGCGTGGTTGTGCTTGGAAGTCAGATTAATGTAACTATTATTTTTTTGGTAATACAAGCGATCTCTTTCGACAAAAAAAAAGTTAGAATTAGAAGTTAGAAACATTGGAGTTTTGAGTGCTAGCTGGTGGAATTGCATAACTTAAGAGAGAACAACATCCTCAATTGGATAAGTCTACAAGACAAGTTAAAGAATATACATCAATCATTAATGGAAAAGGAAAATGGGATAAAATAAGGTAGGTGACTCGACTCTACTGTCACTCCAGGAATTGGCCAAGTGAAACCACTTCCTAAAGCGTAGTATAGCGGGTTTGGGTTTAATTATCAACCCGGGTCCTAGATTTGCTGACTACTCAGTGAGTTCTTGTTATCTAGCAATAAAACTGGAGTGCAAGTCTAAACTACCAAACAAAAAAAGCAAGTAAACTGGTTGTATTCAGGTTAAAGAGGTCACCCGGATATGGTTCCCCCTAGACTGCAGTTAAGCCGGATTGTAATTACCAAGTTCAGTTTCTATGATAGTTATCCTGCGGAAGGTTCTTAAACAGTCTGAAGTCTCGACTAAAGGTCTTCAGACCCTCTCAATCTGAATCTCTAGCGGGCGACTAACCTCCACCAGAGTAGACAGATTGAGGCCCTAAGAACAAAACCTCCACTACCGGGGTAAATCCGGTACAGAATAGTGAGTTGGCTCCTCGACTAAAGTCACCAACTCCCTACCTTCAATCAAGGATGCTCTATCAACCTAGGTAGATATTCTCATTCTAGGTCAAAGCAGAAACAACAGGAATTTGATCAGGATTCAAGTCATTCAATCATTAAAACCTCAATCGAATATAATCAATCATAGAATCAGTACTTGGGTTCATACAATCAAAGCCTAACATACAAATCTAGGGTTCTCCATACCCAGATGAATGGGAGAACTACTCCATGGAGAAGAAAGCAAAAGCAGAATCAGACACGGAATTCATACTGCGAAGGATGGATTCCTGCTTCTGGACGTTGATTGGCACTTCTCCAAGCTCAAGCTGGCCTCCAATGGTGTTGAAGATCAATCTAGGGCACTTGGGAACTCTTGCTCGTCACTTTCTCTCTCTAGAAGTCATTCTTTCTCTCAAAAACTCGAAATCCTCCTGAATTGTGGCTGAAATTCTGCTTAAAAGGAGAAAATCCCGACTCACACGGCCAGGGTGGCACGGCCGTGCAGCTCACCCAGTTGCCCGTGTGAGTCAAAACGCATCGTTTCATTTAGTTTGAATTCCAGGCTCTTTGCACGGCCAGAATGGCACGGCCGTGTAGACATCCCCTCTTGCCCGTGTTTGCTCTCGCAGAATGTGGCACGGCCAACCCGGCCACTTGCACGGCCGTGTCGATCCTCTGCTCTGCCCGTGTGTGCTCTCGGCAAAACTCGCACGGCCAGGCCATTACTTCACACGGCCGTGTGAACATCAGGGCAGCCCGTGTGACCTCCTTTGTAACTTGTCTCACGCCCGATCTTCACCCAATCGACCCCGAACTCGCTCCTAAACCTTCATTCACTTGCCAGGACCTGAAATATCACAAACAAGCACAACCTAGCGTGAAATTGGTCTAAAACACGAGAAACCACATCTCCAACGGTGTAAGAACATGGGTGAAAACATGTGTAACTAACGGTCTATCAAACTCCCCCACACTTAACCGTTTGCTTGTCCCCAAGCAAACCTAACTCAAACTAATGCAACTCTCCAGACCTCTATAGCAACAGACAACCCAGATCGTAGGTAGAGGACTTCCTAGGTCATTTAGCAACTTACGAGGTCAACCGACGCACAAGTCATCTCATAGCTTCTTCGGCGAGTCGGCATCATGGCAAACAGTGAACAGAGGACAAATGAATCATGGATGAAGAGATTCTAAAAAAAACAGATCATGGACTCACATTTTTCAAGGTGCTCTATTTTATTCTTGAAGATGGTTGGAACCCCCTTTTTTTCTATTTTGCTTGTTTTCTGTTATTTTTGTTTTCTTTTCTTTTCAAGGGTCCCAACCTGCTCTTACCGGCCATGCCAGGAGCGGATGTCTCGAGCCTCGTGCGGGGGAAAGACATGTAAGGGGGCTGGAGGTAGTAGGTGGAAATTGGGAACGGATTCCCGTCTCCCCTTACACACTTTCGCCCTATTCGCACGGGAGATGTTATTTGAAGCACATTTTCGAGCACCTGTTAAACTCAAAACATGATACAAGAGTCCATGACAGGTAGAGGATCCACAACACCACACAATTCAAGGGTCCTAAGATCACTAATTCACTCAATCAACCAACTCAATATGAAGAAGAAATGAGACTTCTTAAATGCATCAACATCCTCCATAGTGCTACACTACCTCCCTAGGTTGCATATTACTATAAAGACTGTCAATTCAAAGCATACTGAGCAGGCAATTGCATGGAAACACGTACTTGGAGCCCTCAAATTTAAAAATTTGGACAGTGGACTAGGCTCCAAGCACACAAACAGATCTAATGCAGTCAAAAGATAAACACCCCCCCACACTTAAGATCGACATTTCCCTCAATGGAGAAGAGGGAAGGAAAAGGGGAACGATGTTACTGGTATGCACGGACTGCAGGGGACTGGAAACGGGCCAGTCGGGGCAAGCACAGCCGAAGGGAAACATAAGAGCTCAGACACAATATGTTAGGTTCAATGGTCAGCCCAATAAAATATCATCCAAACCAAAAGAAAACAAACCAAACCCAAACCGGGTTACAATCCGACGCAAAACACAAGAAAGAAAATCAAACCGTGGTAGGGTTGCCTCCCCACAAGCGCTTCTTTACCGTCTTTTAGCTGGACGCCCATGGTGGATACTCAGGGCGGTGCAGGAACAGGTGCCTCCAAGAGCGGATCCACGTCGCTCTTGAGGTACAGCTTCAGGTTGTGGCCATGCACCCGACGGATGCGACCACCCTCATCAGTCAGCTCGACATGCCCATCTGGCAAGATGCAGAAGAGCGAGTACCCAGACGGATAGGGTGGTCGTGGTGCAGGAGGTGGGACCAGCTCATAGTGGTCTGACCTCTTCTTCCGTGCAGGCTTAGCAACCTGCTGCTTCGGCCGCCACTCCTCCTTGAGCTTTTTGTTCGGAGGCGAGACTGGATGGAGTGGCGGCGAAGGAATGATAGGAGGGTCCTGCAAAATAGAAGGTGCAGAAGGGTACACGACAGACTCGTGTACCTGATCAGACATAGCATGCACAGGCGTGACAGCAATCATAGCACAGTGATCAAACTCAGTCACAGAAAAAGTAGCCTGTTCATCCCCAGCACGCAAGATCAACTTACCATCATGCACATCAATTAGTGCCTTGGCGGTGGCAAGAAATGGCCTACCTAGAATCAAGGGCACATCCACATCCTCATGTATATCAAGAATAACAAAATCAACAGGATATGTGAATGCACCAACACCAACAAGCAGATCCTCTATGATTCCCCTAGGATGCACAATAGAACGATCAGCTAATTGAATGCTCATCCTAGTAGGGCTAAGTTCACCTAGGTCTAGCATTTTATACAACTTATATGGCATGACATTAATGCTAGCGCCTAGGTCCGCCAAGGACTTTCCTACATGCATGCTGCCAATAGTAAGAGGGATAGTAAAACTCCCTAGATCCTTGCGCTTCTCGGGCAGCTTGTTCTGCAGGATAGCAGAACACTCCTCGCTCAGCATCACTGTCGAGAGATCCCCAAGTTTCTTCTTGTTGGTGCAGATATCTTTCATGAACTTGGCATACTTGGGCATCTTCGACAGTGCCTCCATGAACGGTATGCTGATATTGAGCTGCTTCAACATTGCCATGAACTTGGCAAACTCAGTCTCCAGCTTGTCCTTGTGTAGGCGAGTGGGGAAGGGAAGCTGGGGTACATGCTCCTTAACCACTGGTTGTGGCTTGGGAGCAGGGGCTTCCTTCTCCACCCGCACTTCTGCATCGTCGGATGGAAGTGCTGAAGCAGTCAGTGGTTCCTCCTGTCTGGCCGGGACAGGATCAGCAGATATGGTCTTACTGCTCCTGGTAAAAATGGTATCCAACTGCTGATGCTGGTGAGGATTTCGAGGATTCGGAACAGTGGTGGCAGGCAGAGTCCCCGGTGCCCTGGTAGTGTTTTGGCGGGCCAAGATGCCCACCTGGGTTTGCAAATCCTGCAAAATGGCACCATGGTTCTTCTGACCTGCCTCCAGTGAGGCTACACTCTGGTCCAACCTCGTGATAGTCGCCTGAGTGCTCGTCATGAATGAAGCTAGAATGTTTTCCAGCTTCGTCATCCTGTCATCTGGGGCTGGAGCTGCTGCTGGCTCGGCAAACTGGCGCTGGGGCTGCTGGAATGGCTGCTGAACTGGCCCCTGTCGAGCCTGGTAGGGCTGCCTCTACTGAAAACCACCTGCTGGTGCTGGGAAACCAGGTGGTTTAGTGGTGTTGCTGCTCCAGGCAAAGTTGGGATGCTGGCGCCACCCCTCATTATATGTGCTACTGTATGGATCGAGGCGCCTCGCATTGGCGATGAAGGCCAACTGCTCCTGGGGTGTAGTAGATTCCCTCATAGCCTGGCAGTCCTCCACTAGGTGATTGGAGCTCTCACACCACTGACATTGAGCTACTGGAGGTGTAGCCAAACCTCTACCCGGAATCAGACTGTTGGGGTGCTTCAATGTTTGCACTAGCTCAGCTACCTGCTGCTCGAGCCCGGATCTGGTCTCCATGGCGTGCACACCACGGTCCCGGGACTGTCTGCCTCGGCTACCCTGTCCCCAAGAATGATCTCTGGCAGCCAAAGTACCGATCATCTGGTTCAGCTCGGGTGGAGTCTTGGTAAGAATATACCCTCCTGGGCATAGAGACTCAATCACCCTCTGGCTATCTGGCGAAAGGGCACTGTAGAAGTTCCCCACTGTGAATGCATCACTGAAGCCATGATGGGGGCACTGCCAGAAATAGCCCATGTACCGCTCCCAAGCATCACGAAGTGACTCAGCTGGCTCCTGGCGGAAGTGAGTGATCTCCCGCTGAATCTCTGTAGTCTTCGATGCCGGATAATACCTGTGCACGAACTTGTCCGCCAGATCGTCCCAAGAGGTGATGGACAATGGGGGCTGGGTCTCCAACCACCTCTTAGCATTCCCCGCCAGAGAATGGGGGAAGAGATGAAGGCGGATCGCATCATCTGGGACACCATTCAGCTTGAACCCGTTTGTCAGCTGCAGAAAACGGGAAAGATGCACCCTGGCCTCCTCATTCTTCAAGCCATGGAACTGGATAGAAGATGTGATGAGCTGAATCCAGCATGGCTTGATCTCGAAGTTGTTTGCTGGGATCGGCGGGTAGAGGATGACCGGGCGTATGTCAGCAATCCGCGGAGTGTAGTAGTACTCCAAGGTGGGACCCGGCTGCGGTGGATGATGAGCTCCATGATCCTGGGGTATGGGGTTGTTCCCTAGGACCTGATTCACCGGGGGAACCTGCTGTGGATTCCCCTGGTGTTGGTTGTAGTCTCCGTCCATCCCGTGCTCTTCTTCAGAATCGCTGCTCAGGTGGCCGTCTATGCGCTCTTCCGTAGCCAGTCTAGCTCGTTGTTGTCTCCTGAGCTGGCGACAGGTGCGGTCAATCTCTGGATTCAACGGCAGTAAACCTCCCGACTGGCTACGGGTCATGCACTACCTGCACACACTCAAGCAACAAACCCGTGAAGGCACAAGTGGGACAAAGAAAACAAAGCAAAAAGAAAAGCTAAATTAACAGAAATCACTTTTCTTCAACAACCTAGCCGTCCCCGGCAACGGCGCCAAAAACTTGACTAGACTCTACTGTCACTCCATGAATTGGCCAAGTGAAACCACTTCCTAAAGCGTAGTATAGCGGGTTTGGGTTTAATTATCAACTCGGGTCCTAGATTTGCTGACTACTCAGTGAGTTCTTGTTATCTAGCAATAAAACTGGAGTGCAAGTCTAAACTACCAAACAAACAAAGCAAGTAAACTGGTTGTATTCAGGTTAAAGAGGTCACCCGGATATGGTTCCCCCTAGACTGAAGTTAAGCCGGATTGTAATTACCAAGTTCAGTTTCTATGATAGTTATACTGCGGAAGGTTCTTAAACAGTCTGAAGTCTCGACTAAAGGTCTTCAGACCCTCTCAATCTGAATCTCTAGCGGGCGACTAACCTCCACCGGAGTAGACAGATTGAGGCCCTAAGAACAAAACCTCCACTACCGAGGTAAATCCGGTACAAAATAGTGAGTTGGCTCCTCGACTAAAGTCACCAACTCCCTACCTTCAATCAAGGATGCTCTATCAACCTAGGCAGATATTCTCATTCTAGGTCAAAGCAGAAACAACAGGAATTTGATCAGGATTCAAGTCATTCAATCATTAAAACCTCAATCGAATATAATCAATCATAGAATCAGTACTTGGGTTCATACAATCAAAGCCTAACATACAAATCTAGGGTTCTCCATACCCAGATGAATGGGAGAACTACTCCATGGAGAAGAAAGCAAAAGCAGAATCAGACACGGAATTCATACTGCGAAGGATGGATTCTTGCTTCTGGACGTTGATTGGCACTTCTCCAAGCTCAAGCTGGCCTCCAATGGTGTTGAAGATCAATCTAGGGCACTTGGGAACTCTTGCTCGTCACTTTCTCTCTCTAGAAGTCGTTCTTTCTCTTAAAAACTCGAAATCCTCCCGAATTGTGGCTGAAATTCTGCTTAAAAGGAGAAAATCCCGACTCACACGGCCAGGGTGGCACGGCCGTGCAGCTCACCGAGTTGCCCGTGTGAGTCAAAACGCATCGTTTCATTTAGTTTGAATTCCAGGCTCTTTGCACGGCCAGAATGGCACGGCCGTGTAGACATCCCCTCTTGCCCGTGTTTGCTCTCGCAGAATGTGGCACGGCCAACCCGGCCACTTGCACGGCCGTGTCGATCCTCTGCTCTGCCCGTGTGTGCTCTCGGCAAAACTCGCACGGCCAGGCCATTACTTCACACGGCCGTGTGAACATCAGGGCAGCCCGTGTGACCTCCTTTGTAACTTGTCTCGCGCCCGATCTTCACCCAATCGACCCCGAACTCGCTCCTAAACCTTCATTCACTTGCCAGGACCTGAAATTTCACAAACAAGCACAACCTAGCGTGAAATCGGTCTAAAACACGAGAAACCACATCTCCAACGGTGTAAGAACAGGGGTGAAAACATGTGTAACTAACGGTCTATCAGTAGGCTCAAATAAAAATGAAAATTGTGGACTTACGTAATAGAGAGATTGTAAGGTTTTCATAGAAATAAAAGAAGATATAATAAGGTAAAAAATGATAACGAAGAAAAAAACATGGAAAAGAGAGGAGGAGAAAGAGGATGAAGGGACATTTGTTCAATGAATTTTCATTATTATAAGATAGAAAATCTGAGTATTCAAGACTTAGCCAAATGTCGGGGATTATTATTCACAAAAAACAATTAGTAACTAACACATCGACGGGTTGATACTTCAAAATTGCCATTCATTTCCTTTGCTGTAGTTGTATACCCTGACTAAGGACAAATCAAATTTGCAATGAAAGATGCAAGGATCCAAGAAACTAAAACATTCAAGAACAATGAGCCACAAAACATAAGCCATAATTTTCCCATCTAGTCTGATTGAGGTGCCTAAGATTCCTGGTCTTCCCAAATGAAGAGATGTGAATGAATCTAACATCATAATCTTATGTAAATTAAAGTAGCGTGGTACATGGAATCATTCAAACTATGTAGCATAAGTTTTTTGTTAGCAGCTCTAGAGATGCCCCACCAATGGATATTGTTATAAATTCCAAATGACCACAAACAAACAACATCACTAGATTACAGATTTTATTCAATAGAGGAATGATAATGAAAAGGGGTAATAGTATTGTGAACTGAGTCAAACTAGTTCGTAGGATCATTGAAACCGAGACTCGGCCTTCGGTCTACCTCAGTGGAGTGAAAAATGCAACTATCTTAGAACTGTCCAGTCGGTTAACGGTCAGAACAATTAATCGTTCAAATCGGCAAACCGGTTAAAAAATCCACAGTTTTCAATCCCTCTGTTCTTCATTGAAATCCATCCCCTGTGTCGATGTCTTGATTTCGATTGTAGTGTCGCTACCAAATTTATTGGTCCCTAAGGCTAGGATCGTATTCCCTTAGGCCTGTCGTAGAACCCTTACTTCGGAAGCGAGGACTGATTGTATTGAAGAAGAGGCCGGTTTAGGAGGTTAAGGTACCTCTGATTTTGCAGAACATTTCAGAAAGTAAAGCGGTGTAGAAAAGTAAATTTACGCTATTGGAGAAGTGAGAGAGTATAAAAGGAAAGCGTTACAAAGGCAATGCTCACCCTAGGTTTCCTAACCACGCGCCTTCGATGATCGGAGCATACGAGCTGTCGATTTCAATTCGTTAGATTCCACCTTGTGTCGAAGCATTTATCCAAACTAAAGGGTGACAAGGACCCTTCATATTTCTCTCTTGATGAGTCATGTCGTTTGATCGAATGAAGTTCGATCAAGTATGATTGCTATTTCTAGACCCATACTAAATTACTAGGATTTCAATCCTTGCAAGGGTGGTCTCATTCTAAGTCAGGGGGTTTTCTCTGTCGATAGAGTGACGACCCTTCCTTGAACTCTCGTCTACTTCCCCTGAACTCTAGCTTTAGAGCACTATTTATAGATCTTCGATTAGGCTTTCTAAGGAGAAAAACTAGCCCTTTCTGCATAATTTAGCCAATCAGAGTGCTCCAAACACGTGGCCAGCGAATCAAGATGCTCCGGTATAACTTCCTAATGAAGTGGACGACCTCCTTAAAATGACACCGTGGGCCAACTTATTCGTCAATTGAAATGGCGCTTCAGGATTTTTTCTTAGGAGCCTTGTGTTCGAATCCTGGCTCCAACAATTTGGACTCAATGGCCCCTATGGGTTCCATGTGGTCCACTAGACTGCTTTCCCTGAAAATGCACTAAACACTATCAAAAGAGTATCAATGGTTTAAAAGATATCGTAGCATAGGTATAACACACTTGAAGAAATCATAGCAATAGTCCAATGTATTATGACACTATTGAGGTGAAATGTATGCACTTTGGGTCACAATACATGGGTGCAGAATAGATGCTTTCACGTGTACACTTGAACTTTGCTTGTACCCAAGAAAACATAGGCTCAACATCGTACTCCCAACATAAATGAATTAATTTACTTTTTAATCCCACAAAAAAAGAACCCGCATTAATGCTGGCCGTTAAGATGAACGTGGACGGTGGGGATTGCTGGTGTATGACATACCCCAATATATGTCTGGTGTACGATAGAAGTCACCATATATATATAGTTATATTTTAATAATAATAATAGTTATTATTATTATTATTACTATTAATTCGCGATTGAGTTTTGCTATTTACATCATGAATTAACAGGAGCTTTGGGCATGATACTATACCCTAACCACTAATGGATAAACCCCAGTCCCTAGTTTTCTAACCCAAATCGTAAGATTCGTTTAATCTTAAAATGATTCGACGAATCAGAACCGTTGATTTTCATTTCAAGATTAAATGAATATCATGCTTTGGGTTAGTGAATTGCGGACTAGGGTTCACTCATTAGGGGTTAGGGTATAGTATCATGCCCCAAACTCCGGTTAATTCATTGTCAAAATAGCAAATTTCAACGGGCGTACGGTACTAGGGTACGTCTGGGCGTACGCTAGCATTTGCCACACACACACACATACACACACCCCATATATATATATATATATATATGGCGAGTTCTATGGTACCCTGGGTGAAATCCGGGGTACCACATACCTTGAGTATGAAAACACTATCTAGACCTTGAATTGACCGATCTTTCGGACATGATACTATACTCTAACACTTAAATATCAAAATCTAGGTGTTAACTCTCCCAATCTTATACTTCAAGATCAATTTAATTAGAAATAATAATCGACGGTTATGATTCATCCAAATATAGGCACAAAAAGGAATGGACCATCTTAGGGTTTATAGATTATGATTTAGATAATTATGACCTAGGGTTCACTCATTAAGGGTTAGGGTATAATATCAGACACAAAAATCCTGGTAATTCGAGGTCTAGATAGAGTTTCCATACTCGAGGTATGCGGTACCCCGGATTTCACCCGGGGTACCATAGAAGCCACCATATATATAGTGAGATATCTCTATCTAGACTAGGGCTGGAAGTTTGGTACCGGTATTTGGGGTATACCGAATACCAGATCGAATTATCTATATTTGGTGTTACCGAATACACGTGTTATTTCTTGGGATTGGGATTGAATTTCAATTGTAATTCGGTATTAGGGATTACTGGATTGGGATCGGTATATACCGATATACCGATCAATACCGAAATATAAGCTAGTGTATATTTTATCCTCTCATATAGACTCTCATTCACTACTATACGATCCTCAACCACCAAGAGTGTCATTTAATTAAACATAGATCATTTCGTCTTTGTTTCACAACTCAAAAGTCCCCATAAAACTCAATTTTGACTTTCCAATTTAAGTCACTCTCATCTCTCACCTAATAATTTGTAATTTTCATAACAGCAAAAAGCAAACACTAGTATTATTCGTCTCTTAGCCTTCA